TAAACTTTACCTCATTCTGTCGGTCACACAATATTGATTGCAGTGTGGGTATAATTTTTATACAGCGGCGACGTCATGGCATTACCTGTGTAGCTGAGCATGGAAGCATGGTTTTCACTTTTTTTCTGCTGTGACAGCGAGTACATACGTGCGCGTGTGCGTTAAACAGAGATGTGCGGAGATAGTTATCGCGAATTCCGAGTAAAACTCCCAAGTGAGGGAGGGATTCACTCCCTACATTCAAAGTCCCTGTCATTTTCAAGTCGGGGGGGGGGGGGCGCATGCACGCGCAAGTATGCAGGCACGCACTCGTAAACACATGCGCAAACAGGCCCGCATACTCAAACATACGGAAACACTCGATCGTACATAAACACGAACCGCATACACAAACGCATATATACAAACACTCAAACGCGTACTACGCACGCACACATGCACACGCACTCACACGCACACTCACGCGCACACACACACACGCGCACACACACGCACACACACTCACATGCACACGCACTCACACGCACACTCACGCGCACACACACACACGCGCACAAACACGCACGCTCGCGTACCTGGAAGCCAGCCTGCTGAACCTCGTGCGCTCGTACGACGTGAGAGAGGCCGTGAGACTTGAGGAATGCCTCGAGAGCGCGGCAGCTGAAGATGTTGGCTGTGCCGCGGCGGCAGTTGTGCGCAAAGCCCTCGTTAGCGATCAGCTCCTCCTCCGTGTCCGACCGCATGTCCGTCTCCTGGCTGAACACACACACAAACACATACATACACATGCGTACACACGCACGCACGCACGCACACACAAACGCGTGCACACTCACGTGGACAAGTAACGTACACTAGTGGACGCTTCTATCGCACACACCTACCTCTCTATGCATCCGTATGACGGTTAATTAACGATTGAGTGACAGTTATACAGTGAAAACGACGATTTATATGGAACAGATACCTGTCTATAAGGGATACACTGGATTTCCCTTGGAGTTGCAGTTATACAGGGAAACTACCAATATAGAATGGACACCTGTCTATAAAGAACACACTTTGCATGCACGTGCACACGTACACGCGTACACGCACACACGTGACGTACGTATCTAATATTGGCAAAGACATTTCAATTTGTAATGTTTCACATGTTGTCCAAGAGGTGGCGCTATCGTACAAGGCTGTAAAAAAATACCGCTTTATTCCTGACGATTTTACCATCCTATTCTAAAAAGCCAGATATCGGGTAAGCTAATATATATATATATATATATATATATATATATACAAGAACGTATAAAAAACAACGGTGCGAACAAACTTTGCGTACAATGGTGAAATGCTGAAACCATGTTGCAGTATTAGTCAAATTAATAAATTTTCCCCGTTTTATTTTGAAGATTCTTTGCAGTATTATTGATCAGCTGTCCTACATTGTTAATATAAAACAAACCGCATGTCCCTACGATGCCCCTACGCTGAGATAATGAGCGGTGAAAATATGGTACTGCTACACTTTGTGGCCAGTGTATTGCTTCCGGTTGCCGCTGTGTAGCGTCATGGTAGCGCTGACTCACGTCAGTACTACAGCGTTTACAATACATCCAGCATGAGGTGGGCACAGGTGGGGGTCATCACTATGGCAATCAATAACAGAAGTCATTCATTCCATTTGTCAATCATTGACGGAAACACGCGAGGTTTCCCGAAGTTATCTCAAAGCGAGAGACAGTCACAGTAAACAGTGATCTCGAGTCGATTTTCACTGCTCATTATCTCAGCGTATGAGGCATCGTAGGGACATGCAGTTTGTTTTATATTAACAAGGTAGGACAGCTGATCTATAATACTGCAAAGAATCGTCAAAATAAATTGGGGAAAGTTTATTAATTCGACTAATACTGTAACATGGTTTCAACATTTCACCGTTGTACGCTCTCCTTCTTTATACGCTCTTGATAATATATATATATACTTGATAGGATCACTCCAGAGGATTTCCCAGGTGAGCTTGCTCTCTTGCTCTGGGTTGCGGAGTGGGCACGGGATCTTGTTGATTGCTGCGAAGGTACTTCCGTGTTTAGAGGGACGTGGGATGCCTCCGTGTACACAGAAGATCTGTCACATCGACAACAGAAAATATGTAAGAACAACACAGAAAAATAACTCGCTCTCTCATTATGTCTCTCTATCTCTCACACTCTCTCGCTCTCTCTCTCGCTCTCTCTCTCTCTCTCTCTCTAACCCGAGATTTGAAGTTTGACCAACTCCGAGTGAAAAACTCCATTAACGCAGAGTTTCGAACTAAACTGGGCAAAAACAACGTAACAAAGACTAGAACACACTAGTGATAATATCAATGATAATATGTGGCTCATGCATGCACGTGTCTGAGTACAAACTGGACTGCTGACGTTTGGCTTTGTGCACAAATACAGCCACCAATGACATTTCGTTGTGAAATCCGGTCCTCTAGAATCAGCAAATGTGCTATAAATAGATGTGTAAAACGTACGTGCCGTGTAACCTTCGTCCTCAATGACTCCTCATTGAAACAGCAAACCATGTTGCAGTCACGTTTAAGATGGTACACGTGCGAACAACTAATCCGCCATTCTGCCGGCATCGCTGACATGTGACTCATTCACGACCACTGACTCTGAGCAATATCAATCAGGAAAATACAATAAGTCGCCGATACAAAATCGAAGCATCGATTAGAATTATTGACTACCGTAACAACATGCTCGACGCGTAGGATCTACATTCTACTGCCGGTATTCATACATAATATCCACGTAAGAATCGACGACACTCATTTCAATTCTAAAAATTGTCCAACAAAATCACCTCGGGTAACCTAGACCGCCGACCGAGCGGCCGGCTATTCACTATAAAGTACACATTTATACAAGTCTAACATTCCCACAGATATATAAACGAGACAAGACGATCTAGGCAATCGGTTGGTAGTGCGTGTTTGTCAAAAACAGCCAACAGGTGGCGCTACGCGTAGCACCCATCCCCCTCCCCACCCTGTAGGCCACATACGCCGACCCTGTCCTCCCGTGTGCAATACTGTGCTTTTACGACGAAAAACGTATTTTTTATCTTCAGATAAAATTTTCCGGCTCCATCGCTTCGCTCGCCGGGCCGCCGGCGACCGCCTCTCCTCCCGCCGGCTGGTCGTCATGGCGACGCGAGAGCTGGCGGGTCGTCATGGCGACGCGAGAGTCGGCGGCGCGGCATTTAGGTGGTGTCGATGCGGATGGTTCTGAGTTTCTTGCGGTCGGCGAGGATGCAGGCGGCCTCGTTGGAGCCGCCGCAGTAGTGCGAGGAGGAGAACACTGTCAGCAGCTGTCCCTTCTGCTGCACCTACGCAGAAACACCGGCGTTAGCGTAGTGATGTCACGATCATCGATTATACTCGATCATCAATTGAAGTTTTTTTAAAACTTGAACAAGAAAACTTGGAAAAGTGATGAGAATCAGAGATATCATCGCTACTATACAAGTTATCCTTTATTAACATACATGTATTATACACACACAGTAGTAAACAGTGCAAAACAAACAGTAAACAGGGCTAAACAAGCAAATATTAATTACCGATGATTGATTACGAAATAC